CCACGGTTCCACGCGCGCACACACTGACAGCAGACGGGGCTGGCCCACGGTTCTGCGCGTGCACACACAGACAGCAGACGGGGCTGGCCCACGGTTCCACGCGCGCACACACTGACAGCGGACGGGGCTGGCCCATGGTTCCACGCGCACACACAGACAGCGGACGGGGCTGGCCCACGGTTCCACGCGCACACAGACAGCGGACGGGGCTGGCCCACGGTTCCACGTGCGCATACAGACAGCAGACAGGGCTGGCCCACGGTTCCACAAGTGCACACAGACAGCAGACGGGGCTAGCCCACGGTTCCACGCGCGCACACACACACAGAGGACGGGGCTGGCCCACGGTTCCACGCGTGCACACAGACAGCAGACGGGGCTGGCCCACGGTTCCACGCGCGCACACAGACAGCAGATGGGGCTGGCCCACGGTTCCACATGCACACAGACAGCAGACGGGGCTGGCCCACGGTTCCACGCGCGCACACAGACAGCGGACGGGGCTGGCCCACGGTTCCACGCGCAGACAGCGGACGGGGCTGGCCCACGGTTCCACGCGCACACACAGACAGCAGACGGGGCTGGCCCACGGTTCCACGCGCGCACACAGACAGCGGACGGGGCTGGCCCACGGTTCCACGCGCACACAGACAGCGGACGGGGCTGGCCCACGGTTCCACACGCGCACACAGACAGCGGACGGGGCTGGCCCACGGTTCCACGCGCACACACAGACAGCGGACGGGGCTGGCCCACGGTTCCACGCGCACACAGACAGCGGACGGGTCTGGCCACGGTTCCACGCGCGCACACACACAGCAGACGGGGCTGGCCCACGGTTCCACGCGCGCACACACAGAAAGCAGACGGGGCTGGCCCATGGTTCCACGCACGCACACACAGACAGCAGACGGGGCTGGCCCACGGTTCCATGCGCACACAGACAGCGGACGGGGCTGGCCCACGGTTCCACGTGCACACGCACTGACAGCAGACGGGGCTGGCCCACGGTTCCACGCGCATACGCACTGACAGCAGACGGGGCTGGCCCACGGTTCCACGCGCACACACACAGACAGCGGACGGGGCTGGCCCACGGTTCCACGCGCACACAGACAGCAGACGGGGCTGGCCCACGGTTCCACGCGCACACACACACAGCAGACGGGGCTGGCCCACGGTTCCACATGCACACAAACAGCAGACGGGGCTGGCCCACGGTTCCACGCGCACACACAGACAGCAGACGGGGCTGGCCCACGGTTCCACGCGCACACAGACAGCAGACGGGGCTGGCCCACGGTTCCACGCGCACACACACAGCAGACGGGGCTGGCCCACGGTTCCACGCGCGCACACAGACAGCAGACGGGGCTGGCCCACGGTTCCACGCGCGCACTGACAGCAGACGGGGCTGGCCCACGGTTCCACGCGCGCACACAGACAGCGGACGGGGCTGGCCCACGGTTCCACGTGCGCACACACAGCAGACGGGGCTGGCCCACGGTTCCACGTGCACACAGACAGCAGACGGGGCTGGCCCACGGTTCCACGCGCGCACACAGGCAGCGGACGGGGCTGGCCCACGGTTCCACGTGCACACAGACAGCAGACGGGGCTGGCCCATGGTTCCACGCGCACACACATAGCAGACGGGGCTGGCCCACGGTTCCACGCGCACACACACTGACAGCAGACGGGGCTGGCCCACGGTTCCACGCGCGCACACACAGCAGACGGGGCTGGCCCACGGTTCTACGTGCACACAGACAGCAGACGGGGCTGGCCCACGGTTCCACGCGTGCACACAGACAGCGGATGGGGCTGGCCCACGGTTCCACGCGCGCACACACTGACAGCGGACGGGGCTGGCCCACGGTTCCATGCGTGCACGCACACAGACAGCAGACGGGGCTGGCCCACGGTTCCACGCGCACACAGACAGCAGACGGGGCTGGCCCACGGTTCCGCGCATGCGCGCGCACACACACACCGTGTGAACATGTCAGTGCACATGTTCTCACATTCTGTACACGCCCACGGGTTCCTTGTGCGCGCACACACACACACACTGTGTGAACATGTCAGTGCACATGTTCCCACATTCTGTACACGCCTCCGTGAGTGTGTGATCCAATAGGTGTGCTCTCACATCTGCACGCTTAGGCCGCACACCACCTCCATGACCACAGACGCGTGTGAGCGTGCTCATTGCACCTCCAGCCACGGGGGGAGAGCTCTGTGGAGCCAGTCGTGGGTTCTGTTGCTTCCGCAGTGAGGACTGGAGGCCACCAGGTCTGAGGCCACCAGGGGAGCTGGGCCTGTCCCTGGGGTCCCCAGGCCGCAGCCTGTGTCATGGCATGGCTGGGCCTGGAGGCGGTCGAGGGGCAGAAAGTGAGTGGAGTGCTCCATGCCTGCTCCTCCCACCTTCCCCGCCAGGCTGCAGGGGCTCCTGCCCCGTCGAGATGGGGTGGCCATGGGCCCAGCTCCAGTGCAGACAGTTGGACAGGCCCCCTGTCCCCTGGGGGGGGCTCTGGGCCATCATGAGTCTTAGCAGAGGAAGGGAGGGCTTTGAGCCGGGCTCTCTGTGATCCCTAAAACCCAGGGCTCCTGACCAAAAGTGAGAGGAGAGAGGGCAGCCCCCCAGCCCCCAGGAGCGAGGTCCCCCAGCTC